AAACAGACCTGATCAGCTTTTGATTGCCATCTATATGCCATAGACTATTTGGTGCAGGAACATTGTACTGACGACGCCTTGCAGTCTGTAGGGTTAACCTTCGCATCAAGATTGCTCCTGGATAAACTCGCTGCATCGATGCCCTTAATCGATGCCCTAATTGAAAAAGGAGATTCATGATAATAATACTGGAATAATGTGGAATGATAAGTTTAAGTGTAACACCAAGCAGATCCGCGATTTCTCGGGTTGATAGACCGGACAACACAAAGTTAGCCAGCTTGTCGCCAGGAATATCCAGAGGCAGGCGTCCAGCACCTGTGCTTGTAGTACCAGCGCTAATGTTGACTTTTTCAACTTGGACCTCTTCCACACGCACGCGGTGCTCAATCAGTCTTAAACAATTTAAAACTTTGTTTTCTATGTATACACCTTGAAGAGCACTTATCCGCCCTAGTATTTCCAAGAAACCCTCAATATGTGTCAAATCATATCTGCAGAAAACCCATGTTAATCGATTTCATCTGCTAATGCTAGCATGCTACCTCGGAGCCCACCGATGTCTTCCATTATGTCAGCACTCACGTCCCTTAGCCAGCCTTTTTTGGCACACGGCTCTGTTGTCTGTTCTGAATGTGAGATATAGCCAAGCCCCCTGATTTGCATAGAAGAACGTGAAATGTAAAACGGCATTATGAAATAAAGGTCTCTGGAGATGAAAAAGTGGCCTTATGAAATAAAAGTACCATGAAATGAAAAGTGGCATTATGAAATAAAAGTACTAGGAAATTAAAAGTGGCATTATGAAATAAAAGTACCCTGAAATGAAAGTGGCATTATGAAATAAAAGTACCATGAAATAATTAAATGTATTTAATATTTACGTATTTATTGCCTCATTTATTTGTTTCATGATGTATTTCAAATGCATATTTCATGTATTTATTCATTTATGTATTTAATTTTGACTAAAACGGCATTCCATATACATGAGTGTGTATTGCGAGTCTTAGAGTGACAGCTGAGGGGCCAGAGTGTGCGGCAGTGTCAGAATGTGGTTAAAAAAATATGGAACTTCGGCCCTTCCAGCCGAAGTATACACTTTTGATGCTTAATTTCTTTGAATTAATGATGGCATGGTTGTGCTGATTGGATTAATGTGTTCATGGAATCCCAGAGTTCTTTAGTTTTGGTTTACAGAGTGTTAAAAGTGACACAACCTCTGCCAAAAGCCCCATAGGCTCCAATGCAAATCTGCCGACATATTTCTCAAAAAATCCAGAAGATACACGTTTTGTAAACTGCCATAGGAGCTGTATTTATTACCGGACAGACATAAAAAACACATCTATGCGTTCGGTAGAGTCTTGGGTCTCGCAAAAACGTCTTATTTTTTACATAGCTGTTATAGTTTTGCGCTAGTGAACACTTGTTTGAGGTGTGGATTCTGTGTAACTCGCTGTCCTGTCTCTGCCCTGTTCAGCAGCTTGTTAATGAACCCAGGTGCGCCGTTGCCGTGGATACTCACACACATGCTGCAGTATCTGTCTGTGACTCACAGCTGCTCCTATTACCTGAATAGTGGAGTCACATGATGCAGCTATGCTTTCTGTCAACAGACCAACATGATGAAGACACTCGCACCCCCTCCCCCCTGACCTCTTCTCACTGTTAATCAGTCAGTCTCTCTGTCTAATTCTCCTCCCCTCTCCCTCTCTATCTCTTCCTCACCACCCCTCCCTGCCTCACCCTCTAACCCTCCCTCCCTCTATCTACACCCCCCCACCCCACCCAATCCAATCATTTCAAAATAAAAGCGCCATGGGGGAAATTTTTACTGTAATGTTTGTGATGAGCCCTATTAATTAAAAACGTCTTAGTTTAAATAACAAACATTCTGTCTTCCAACCCCCCCTCACCCAATTCCATCATTTCAAAATAAAAGCCTCAATGATTATCTGTACCTTAACCATGAAGCTCAGAATGAAGCGGTTTTGTTGAAATACGTATTGCTCTTTCAAATACTACTACAACCACTACGAATATTACTAGTACTTCTAGTACTACAACTGATATGTCTACTACCATACTACTAGTATTTCTACTTGCAAATACTCCTATGGCTAATAGTAGTAGTATTACAGCTGTTTATACTGCTATTGATACTAAACTTACTTCTACTGCTTACTACTTACTTACTACTAGCACAAATAAAACTATAACTAATGCTACTACTAATATTACTACAAACAATTTAAAACCTCTTTTTATTCATCTCAGCTTTTGTTATTTCTGTATTTTTTTAAATTCATCTAAGCTCCAGCAACTTCTGTATTTTTCAGCAAATCTATTAAAATTCCATGCAGCTTCCCCCATATATGTATTTTCAGCTATTTAAAATTAATTTCAGCTTTTCTAATATCTGTAATTTTCAGCAAATGTATTCAAATTCCCTTCAACCTTCTGTATTTTCAGCTATTTTTAAAAATTCAGTTCAGCTTTCAGCTTTTTGCATTCCAACGCATTTTCAGCAGGAAATGCATTTTCTAGTTATTATATAAGTTATATAGAAGTATATATATATATATATATATTTTTTTTTTTATATATATATATATATATATATATATAAATGTGTTATTATAATTTCAATTTTTTTTTAATTCATTCATTCATTTTATAGGCCTATTTATTTGACCTTTATTAAGTGCTGCACACAATTATTTTTAATATTATTATTAATATCAACAGGCCTACCTATAATTTATAGTTTTTCACTCACCTTTGCCAGTGTCAAATCCCCTCAACTAGGCAGATGTTTCTTACCTTGAAAGTTTTGATATAATTTTTATTTGAAAATAAATAAATGGAATATCTGTGATATTTCAAATTAAAACAAAGTGTGAAGACTCGATTACTACTTTTGCAAACCACTAGTAAAGTTAAAAAAATATGTGCCAGGAATCAAGTGTTTATATAGTAGTGGGGATATAGTAGTGTGGATGGCTCTTCCAGGCAAGTAATCTCTACTACACAATGAGGCCTGCTGGTGGTCATTTTGATCTGGGTCATACAATTCTCTGTTATATAGCTGACCCGGCCCCGGCCCTCCATCACAGTCAGGAACGATAATGTGGCCCCCAGACATAATGTGACCCCTGTTCTACTGAGAGAACCATTTGCAGGGAACCCAAAATCCTTTGACCACTCGGCCAAAAACTTTAGAGATCTCCATATTTCTGTCTCATCACATGCATAATGGGTCCCTGTGGAGGATTACTTTCTATTTACGTTTATCCTGTACACACCTTTCAGGCATGTTAAAGTATACTTTTCATTCCTTCAAAATATAGTCGTCGCTATAAGTCATTTACCCTGGAAAAAAACAAGTTAAAACCCAACAGAACATATTGATTAATAATATAAGTCAAGGGCGCAAATATCTGTGTTCAGATTATTATTATCCGAAATACAATATTGTTCCTGTCTTCCTGTTATGTCAAGCGTTCCAATTATGCAATTTCAGAGTGTTAGTCTGAATACAATCGTTAATCCACAAATTGCTCCTGTCTTCCTTTGTAAAAAGGTGGATGCTGATGAATGAGATACGCCATAAAATTCAATTGTCATTCTAATTTCACATTATTGCTTCTGAATTGTTTTAATTTTTTTTTGCTCAGAATGGTACTCAATGGTTCCACACTCATACAAGGGTTGGAACTAACTATTTTTGAATGTTTGCTTAGGAATACTTTTATTTAACAATAATAATAGTAATGATAACTTTGAGTTTGAGTGTGTTTGTTGATTATAAGTTGAGCTATGTATATTATACATCAATAACATTTCTCAGGACATAAAAACTGAAAACAACTAAGAGAGAAATTTCACCTTATCGTGTCTCGAGCAGACAGCTTGTTTTTTGGGCTGAAGTAGATGCACCGTGAGTTATTAAGTTGTTCATTGATCTAATCGTGAGTCATGTTCTTCGCTGTTCACAGTTGATCTGCATACATAATAATAACAATATAATAATGACAGCACTAAAAATTCAAAATTTTAGTGCTGACTTCCTTCATCAGCTGAATACTATTACACACCATCAGTGGTACAATAGCGGTGTTATTGCAACGTTCGAGTTTCCAAAAAAAAGGCCACATTGGTTTTTCAGTATATTTGATGATTCAAATATGTTATACTATTTATAATACAACTTATTAGCAGAAGACATGACCACAGTGAGCAGCTCCTTTGAATGTTGGCATAGAAATACTTCATTCGTAACTTTATGATAGTCATAATAATGATTACATGTGTTATGTTCACCTAAATGTAACTGCATCTGTGCTGATAGAATTCATCAGCACAATATAAATAATGGTTTACAATAATAGACCTATATGCATATGAAAGCTTCCAAAAAAATTAACATTAGTGGGTCAGTATATTTGATGATAAAAAGTTGTAACTACGTATAGTAAAAGGTACTATTAGCAGAAGAAATGTCCACAGTGAGCAGCTCTGATGGGAGGTCTGATTGAACTGTAACCACCATCACTGTGTTTGCTGCTTCCACAAAAACTCCAGTTTATTAAATACTGATCAACATCTGATGGTCGTTGTACGTTGACACCCTGAACCAACATGTGGATAGTTTGGAAACCCACTTTTGATGTTGAATTGATGTATTTTAAATACTTTGAAGAGAGAAATGAGTGGGAAAAGCCGCTGATCACTGCTGTCCACGGCGCTGAGTAGGTGAGGTTTGGAGGCTCCTCAAACAAAACGCATTGATCATCAGAGCTCTACGTGACCTGAACATGAAGAGAAACTAGTCCGCTATCGGCTCCTCCACCTTCAGCCTCCAGCACCTGATGCACATTTAGTTTTTAGTCTTTAATCAGTGGAGAGAAAACACAAGTGACTCGACTTTCAGGCTGCACGAGGAGCTCCGGGCTGGGTTGAGTCTCTACGGTTCTCATGGTGCGTTTAAGTTCAGTCCGCTGCTTTGAGCTCTTCATCAGTCTCACTCTCTCGAGTCCTCGACGATACAAACGCACAACAACGGGACAAAATGGCAGAAGTAGCTCCAGCTCCAGCCGCCGCCGCGCCCAAAGCAGCCAAGAAGAAGGTGTCCAAGCCGAAAAAGGTCGGTCCCAGCGTCTCTGACCTCATCGTGAAAACTGTGGCCGCATCCAAGGAGCGGAGCGGCGTGTCTGCTGCCGCCGTCAAGAAGGCTCTGACCGCCGGAGGATACGATGTGGACAAGAACAAGGCCCGCGTCAAGACCGCCATCAAGAGCCTGGTGGCCAAGGGGACTCTGGTCCAGGTCAAGGGGATCGGGGCCTCCGGCTCCTTCAAGATGAGCAAGACCACCGCCGACAAACCGGCAAAGAAAGCCGCTCCTAAAGCCAAGAAGCCCGCGGCCAAGAAACCCGCAGCGGCCAAAAAGCCCAAAGCAGCGGCAGTGAAGAAAGTTGTAGCCGCTAAGAAGTCACCGAAGAAGGCCAAGAAACCCGCAGCGGCCAAGAAGGTGGCCAAGAGCCCCAAGAAGGTAGCAAAGAGCCCCAAAAAGGTGGCCAAGAGCCCCAAGAAGGTGGTGAAAAAGGCCCCTGCAGCCAAGAAATCTCCAGTGAAGAAGGTCGCTAAGCCCAAAGCCAAGAAAGCAGCACCCAAGAAGAAGTAAACTGATGTGACAAACACTTCTATAAAAGGCTCTTTTAAGAGCCACCCAATCCCTCCTTAAAGAGCTTTTCCTTCTCTTAAATTATTAACACAATACTTTTTATGTTTATCTCTAATCAAAGATACACTGTTAACTGTTGTGGATTAACGCCCTTCAGTTTAATCTGTGTTCTATTCTTTCTCCAACGTGTTTACTTATCTGACAGACATCTCTATTTAAAGCACCCTCATTGTGATTATCCTGATGTTGTCCCACTATTGTCCCTCTTTCTGGCATGTTGCTGCTAGACTAACTGGCTCATTCTGGTTGATGTCTCCTAGTGTCTACAGACACACACGAGACCTTTGAGCGACTGCCGGTGTTTCTACATTATCTTGCCCAAACTTTTGCTATGCGGTCAAAGACGTGTTTCCATTTATATTCAACCTTGCCTTCCTGCCCTTTTTGAGCCCCCGTTAAATTAAACAGATTCACCTAGATTTATAGATTCCCTAGAAAGTTGGACGATATACACATTTTTCTAATACACCATAATGGCCACTATTGTGTGTTTTTGGTACTCCTTTTAGAAAAAACAAACCATGGATGCAGATCGGGCAACAAGGCAGTTTGTGCTTTGAATTGATAAGCAATCATTAAACAATTTGCACATTTCACTTAAACATGTATAACCGAATTATTACCATTATGAATATTTCAGTAAATACTGTGCCATTTTAAAAATGAACACATGAGGAGGAACGTTTTGAAATACAAGCATAAGGAAATCATCTTTAGAAGAGGTGGGTGGCTCTTAAAAGAGCCTTTGTGTTGGCGGTCTAGATCAGGTTTACTTGGAGCTGGTGTACTTGGTCACGGCCTTGGTTCCCTCAGACACGGCGTGCTTGGCCAGCTCGCCGGGCAGCAGCAGGCGCACAGCGGTCTGGATCTCCCTGGAGGTGATGGTGGAGCGCTTGTTGTAGTGAGCCAGGCGAGAGGCCTCGCCGGCGATGCGCTCAAAGATGTCGCTCACGAACGAGTTCATGATGCCCATGGCCTTGGAGGAGATGCCGGTGTCGGGGTGCACCTGCTTCATCACCTTGTACACGTAGATGGCGTAGCTCTCCTTCCTGGACTTTCTCCTTTTCTTGCCGCCCTTGGTGACGGCCTTGGACACGGCTTTCTTGGAGCCCTTCTTGGGCGCTTTCACAACCTCAGGCATGATTCAAGTCACTTTCGTAGACTGTCAATGTCGCGAACAGAATAGGACGGCATCTATATATGAACGAGATGCAAATTTCTCTGTGCGGTTGCTCGAGATTGATTGGTTACCTTCTGTGTGATACTGCGCATGCGTCACAAACATCGCCTCTAAACGGATTTCTCTATTGAGATTGAAGCACTTTAGTGCTCTTGATTTAACACGAGATTGTTTTTTATTTGTGTCGTTTCACAACAGAGTTGCATGTTGAGAATCATGTTGTAAGAATCATTGTGTGCACTGAAATCATCTAATGAAGGTCACACAAACCATTCACAATCACAGGGCACCCTGTTGATAATTATGTCAAGACATGACACACACCTTTTTTTCATCCAGAATAGACAAATACATGTCTATTAGTCATAAATATTATAGGGCACCTTAACAGGACTTGTAGGCATTCGGCACACTGAGCCACGGAAGTGAAACACGTACGGTTTGTATTCTTCACATCTTCAATTTGGAAGTAGGAGGAGCACAATTATCCTGATGACTGACATCTAGTCGTTCAAATTAACGTTTGAGCTCGGATTGTTTGTGAGGAATCAAGGTGGCCCGAAATCAACCATCGGGTTAATTTGGCTAATAGACTGGAATCAGTTGGACCGATTTGACAAATATCCACTGTATTTTTACATTGATTACACCGGGATTTACTGAAACGGCAAAACATCAAAAAGGACAACTTTATTGTAGGCACGGAGCCAGGGTTAAAAACACTGCAGCAGCTACATCCGTTAATGATTTAGTCTATAACAAAATCCTGATCCAGTTATCTTGTTAGTTGATCCCAAATTGGTTAATTACCATTCAAGTCTTTTATACGCGCACACAAGAATAAAAGCAAAGCACAAGAACGGAGTTTTAAACTATTGTGCCTTATACTGGTGACATGTGTATCGCAGCTCTTTTCGTGTGAGTGGGTGGCTCTTAAAAGAGCCTTTTAGGTGGATGGAGGTCTCCGGCTTTACTTCTTGGCAGGCTTCTCGGTCTTCTTGGGCAGCAGCACCGCCTGGATGTTGGGCAGCACGCCGCCCTGAGCGATGGTCACTCCGCCCAGCAGCTTGTTGAGCTCCTCGTCGTTGCGGACAGCCAGCTGCAGGTGACGCGGGATGATGCGGGTCTTCTTGTTGTCGCGGGCGGCGTTTCCAGCCAGCTCCAGGATCTCAGCGGTCAGGTACTCCAGCACGGCCGCCAGGTAGACGGGGGCTCCTGCGCCGACACGCTGCGCATAGTTCCCTTTGCGCAGATGTCTGTGGACGCGACCGACTGGGAACTGGAGTCCAGCACGAGAGGAGCGGGTCTTTGCCTTCGCTCGGGCCTTTCCACCGGTTTTACCTCTGCCGCTCATTGTTATACTGTTTCAGGGAAGGAAGTGTGTATGAACGCGTCAAACCCTCCTTTATATGTCCGCGGAGCGGGCGGGACGGTTCCTGACGCGCGCACCAACCAGAGAAGAGGCTCCAGGCGCGAGAGCAGAGGGCGGGACCTCTCATATTTGGCAGACAGTTTGAAATCATTTTCCACCAATGAGCAGCGGAGACTCGCTTCTAGAGGCGCGGCTGAGCTTTTTCTCCCAGCAGTTACCGTCTTCTAAATGAATGAATCTATGAAGTACGAACAACGTTCGTTTCAGTTCATCTAATTCAGGCTTTTCCTAATAAATCCTATTTTCTGGCTCTCACATAAATTGTGTCTGAGAGGGATTAATTTAGTGTATTTACCTCTCCAGAAAGTGAATGGCCACATTTGTGTCAGTATGGGACTGCCTTGCGTGGAAAAAAGAGATTTTTTTTCTCTCATTTTGTACCCTGATCAACCATAGTGAGGTAATGTAGCTCTGTATCTTGAGTCGAATCATTCACTAAAAAGGGGCAAGTTATACATCCCATTTGTTAGTGAAGGCGTTGAAGTGTGTCGGTGTACATCACCCTTATAGCACTGTAGTGAGAATCCTCACTATTCAATGTCTGCGGATGTGTGGACTGGCTGGCTGTGTTTGATATCTAAACTATTTGTTGTACCCTTGTATCGGTCAGAAGGCTTTACAGTCTGTACACATGCGACATCCTCTGTCCCGAAACCCACACATCGGCAAAGGAAAAACTCTTCCAACCCTTCCATGGGGAAAAAAGGGAAGAAACCTTAGGGAGAACGTCAGAGGACGGATCCCACTCCCTGGATGGACAGATTACAATGGATGTCATGTGTACAGAATGAAAAATACAAAAGATGTATAATACATTTAATTCCTATGACAGAAATGATTCAAATTATTGCGAGTAGCAAGCCAGGCCCACGGCAGGACCACTGCAGGGACGACCACCACCATGAGATAGAACCACCATCCACCTGGGGGAGGGAAAGCACAAAGTCTTTAGGAGAGGGTAATGTTGGTTTATAATGACAGTAATATGATTTAGTATTTAAAATAATAATGATGATGGCAGCAGCAGCAGGTTTCAGGACCAGGGTCCAGAAGGAACTACGAACTACGGAGACCTGCTAGGGGAGAAAGCACAAAAAACTCCCGGAAAGAAGCGGAATAAGTCATGTACATTAATAAAACGTGGATTATTGTAGAAAGAGAGTGTGAGAGAGGAGCTTGGTGTGTCCTAAGAAGTCCCCTGGCAGGCTAAGCCTATAGCATCTTAACTAAGGGCTGGTCTGGTCTAACCTGAGCCAGCCCTAACTACAAGCAGAATCAATAAGGAAAGTTTTAAGTTTTACTTTAGAAGAGCTGACCGAATCTGCCCCCCCCGGACTGAAAGTGGAAGCTGGTTCCACAAAAGAGGAGCTTGATAACTGAAGGATCTGGCCATCCCATCCTACTTTTTAAAACCCTAGGAACAGCAAGTAACCCAGCATCTATGGAGCGCAGTTGCCTTGTAGGGCAATAAGGTGTTACAAGCTCTTTAAGATACGGCGGTGCTTCACAAGCAAATGCCTTGTAGGTGAGGAGATGTACCTTAAATTCTATTCTTGATTTAACAGGGAGCCACTGCAGCTTAATACTGGAGTAATATGATCCCTTTTCTTAGTTCTTGTTAATACACATGCTGCAGCATTCTGAATCAACTGGAGTGGTTTAAGAGATTTACAATAGCAGCCTGATAACAAAGAATTACAGTAATCCAGTCAAGAAGTAACAAACGCATGAACTAATTAATCTGCATCACAGACAGAAAGTTCCTGATTTTCGATATATTAAGTAGATATCGATAAAAAGTGTATCACGTGACAGCTGACTTCGAAGGCGCTCTGGGCCTATCAAGATAACTTCTGTTTTTTCTGAGTTTAGCATCAGGAAGTTGCCGGTCATCCAAGTTCTAATGTCTCCAAGACAAGCTGGTCGGTCTCTTCTGGTTTGGTCGACAAATACAGTTGAGTATCGTCTACATAACAATGGAAGTTTATGCGGTGTTTCCTGATAAGATGGCCCAAAGGAAGCATATAGAGGTAAATAAATTGGTCCAAGTACAGAACCTTGTGGGACTCCGTGCCCAACATTGGTGGCCTTCGAGAATTCACCGTTTACCAGAGGTGGAAAGAGTACTGGAAATTTGTACTCAAGTACAAGTACTGTTACATTGCTTGATTTTTACTCAATTACAAGTAAGTACTAGTGTTAAAACATATTTAAGTAAAAGTACAAAGTGCTCTTCTCAAAAACTACTACAAATTACTTTTTAACCGATGGATGTTTTATTGCATCGTCAATAGCAGACATTAGATGTATAAAATTTAAATTCAAAGCACATTTCTTAGACGAACGATAGAAGAATTACAGGCAATTTTACGGTGGCAGATACGTGCAAAGGCGATGCAAACTGCAAACCAAATGCAACAGTAAAACGCTGCAAGAGAAAAATGCGGCAATCACTAAAATGACCGGAGCACACGCGACGCAAACTTCTAAAGACATACAAGAGAGAAACGCTGCAAGTTCACTCAAAACACAACGGAAGTTTGCCAGGCCGCTAGGGGGTTTTGACCTGTGGGATAGTGGATGGACTATGGGAGATCTACCATAGTAACGACGGAGAAGAAAGTTAATGTCCTTTATGTCTTTTTTAAACACCCGGCCGTAATTATAGCTTTGGCCATCATTCTTTTTTTTAACGTTCTTCTCCTTCCATTTCTTTCTCAAATTCTCAGTCCACTCTTTACACCGCTGTGTATTTAACCTCCAGAAACATTTGCCTGCTGCACCAGCGACTTGTCCTTTGCTTATATTATGTCTTAGAATAATTGGCGCGGGCACGATCTGACAGCCAATAAGGATTTGCATTGAAAAAAAGCAATCTGACAGTTCAAATATTACATACTCAACAGTAGGGCTGCAACTAACAATTATTTTGATAATCGATTAATTGGTCGATTATTTCTTTAAATTAAAGTAAAAAATAGCATTAAAAAGCTTTAATTTCCAACCCTTTATTCTAAAACAGAACTGCAAGTATTTGTAATTTGTTACTTCCACCCCTGCCGTTTACAAGCACAAACTGGCATCGTTCCGATAAATAGGATTTAAACCAGCTGAGTGCAGTTCCTTTGATACCAATCAAACGTTCTAGTCTCTGCAACATGATACAATGGTAATGGTATAAAAGGAGATGAGTCCTTGATCCGATGAAAGTAGCAGATCATTCGTAATTTTCACCAGTGCTGTTTCTGTGCCGTGATGCACTTGAAATCCTGACTGGAAATCCTCGAACAAAGCATTGTTTTGTAGAAAGTCACATAATTGATATGCAACGGATTTCTCAAGGATCTTAGAGAGGAAAGGAAGATTAGAGATCTGGGCCCGTATCCCTAAAGAATTTTTGTGCAAAAAGTGGCTCCTAGCGGCCAAATTCTAAGAAAATTCTCAGAGTCATTACGTTTTCTTAGAATTTCCCCTAAAAGTGACATGAAAATCCCAATTAATATAAAAGCTATTCCTCAAGATTCCTAGTACTTAAAAGGGCTCCTACGGCGAGATCTGCTAGGAGCAGGGAAGAGGACTTTTAGTGGCTTAGGAGTTCCCCTAAGCAGCTGCACAAAATGGCCAACAGAGGAGGCAGGAGAGATGTCCTGCAAACACTGGATGACAGGGAATTATTGAGACGCTACAGATTAGATCGTGCAGGAATCATGTTTGTGGTGGATCTCCTTAGAGATGCAATTACTTCACCAACTCGACGCCACAACGCTATTACACCGGAGAAGAAAGTTGCCAGATTATGTGGTAGGCTATAGTATTTTGCTCACCTGTGAGTGAGGATTCCCGCTTCTGTGCTGAAATCTCATCTTTTGCCTTGGACTGCAGCACATACCACCTTTTCTCACAATCGTCGCCTGTCCGCACCACCAGTGGAAAAGAGGCATTGATTGTTTGGCATATTGTGTCCCAGGCGTGCGCCTCTTGCCTTGGCTGGTGACAGTTGGGCCAAATTTTCCTCGTAACATACCTTTATGTTGGTTCACCAACTGGGCCAGCAACAAACCTTGCTCCTCAGTCCAGTTCGGGTTGCGATTCCTTTTTTTTCTCCATTTTCTGTGTTTGTAGGATATTTGTTAACAAGCCTTCATAAATAGACCAGCCAGCAATCACAGACATTGATAAAAGCTGAGCCGTGTCACCCTCGTTAAGACCACACTGAGTTGTAACGTTGCAATTTCTACTTCATTAAGGACAGCCCCTTGAGATAGGCCATCTTGTTTTCAATGGGGTCCATATGGGAGTGAAAGTACAAAATATGCCAGCTAGGATATTTAATATGAGCAAATAAGACACAAATCATTATTTGAACAGGGTGTAATGAGCTTAAGTTTTCACATATTTTAGATTCTAATGTTATGCTATAAACCCTACAGCTTACTATTCATTTTCCAGATATTTTCTTGAATGTGAAATATTATTTACAATTACAGTCTGCATAAGATTAGAGTGTATAATTATGTTTATTGATTTGAGGGTACATCCTTTGCTCATTATCACCAAAAGTTCATTTTCATCAAACTTGTAGGATCAACCAATCACGGCTTTTGAAATAATGACTCATACCTAGCAACGGGGTCAACCACACCTCCTCACCAAGAGAGGATTTTCCATCCATTCCTTGCTCAGAGTTCACTGAAAATGTTCTGGAATCACTTCTAAGCTAAAACTCCTGGCAAGGAATTTTTAGGTTAAGTTAGGAGCTCTGTGAGAGGATTCTCAGAATCTTTAGGGATACGGGCCCTGGTCTGTAGTTAGCCAACACCTCTGGAGCAAGAGTAGATTTCTTAAAAACAGGTTTAATTAAAGCTACCTTGAAGGACTGTGGTACATGTCCTGTCAACAAAGACAGATTCATAATATCGAGTAAAGACTTCCTTCAGCAGACGGAAATCGGATCCAAGAGACAAGTAGAAAATTTAGACTTCGAAATTAAAGAAGTCAGTTGATCAAGGTTGATGGAAGAGAAAGCATCCAAACAGGCATCAGGGCCCACTGCTGCATCCAAGGTTCCTACATCTGAGGACAGGTTTGGCACTGGTTGAAGGCAGGAGACCATCAATTTTCTCTTTTATAGTCAGAATCTTAGCATTGAAGACATTCATGAAGTCGTTACTACTGAGGTCCAAAGGAATACACGGCTCGACCGAGCTGTGACTGTCAGTCAGGCTACAGTGCTGAAGAGAAACCTGGAGTAATAATCATGAGTAATAAGATGCTCTTGTATACAGAGAGCCGTCTTATATGTTTTATGTTTTCAATCCGATCATATCCGATTTGGTGGAACGGCATAATCGTTCAAGTTTCCGCACAGTTTGCTTTAGGTTCCGGGTTTGAGGGTTATACCAAGGAGCAAACTTCCTTCTTGTTGCTATTTTTCTTTCCAGAGGAGCAATAGCGTCCAGCGACCACTCTCAAAGAGCCTGTAGCAGCATCGACAAAATGATCGATCTGGGACAGATTGAAGTTCTCACAGGACACTAAACTTAGAGCAGAAGGAATGGCTTCTTTAAATGGGGTTACAGCAGTATCCGATGAGTCAGTGATTCTCAACCGTTTTTAATGGGTCGTGGGCCTTTGCCTGGGAAAATAAGAATTAGAATTAAAAAAAAAAAAACATAGTGTTTGTCATATCTGTTAAAGTTAGGTCATTTGTGTCTTTTTATGACTTTTGTTTGTGCATGAAATCTGTCGAGTTTGTTTGAAATGGCTGAAGATTCTTAATTGTTATGCATGTTGTAATACCTCGTGTCCTTAAGATACACTTTGGGGGTTGTAAAAGGGAATAGTTCCCTCTCTAGAATCGCTACTAGTGATGGGAAGTTTGGATCATTTTACAAACTCGGTTCTTTGAATCTCGTTCAGTAAAATGAACAAATCTTTTTTTGAGTCATTCGTACACGTCGGCGGGGGTGGTAAGATAAATTGTTGGTGGAAAACCAAAGAACCGATTTGAAACTAGGCTCTGTCTCCGAACTAGCACCAGTTCTGCCTTGGTGGAAAAGGGGTGAACACACACAGAGACAGAGACACACCCACAAATACCCTGGCAGTGGCCCTGGAGCCGTCACAGCAAATGTGAATTGAATTAACCCCAATGAGGTACTCCATGATTATCATGTCAAAAAACACTGTTAGTGTTAGTCAGGTCATCTCGTGTCTACGTGTCTTGTGATTTCTTGTTATATTTTGAAAATTAACCTTCCTCTCGTTCCTCTCTCTGTGTGTATATAATGTCTGCATCTCCCTTTGTCCTGTGCCAGTTCGTCTTGTCCTAACGAGATGTGCGCAGTATTAGGCCTATGCAATGTTATTTAAGGCGCTATAGGGTTGACGTGGATTGTACACTTTGGGTCGCTGTGTTAGTGAAGTTGTTTTAGTAGCCTTGCTACTGTCGGTTATATATAATGGTTACATAGGTTGGAGGGTGTGGGCTAAACCAATGCTATGTCTCCTGCCTTGAAGTCAATGCTCCCTATTATAAAATATTGTTATAATAAAAGTATTCTTCCAAATCCTTCAGTCTGGTGATTGTGCTCCCCGGAGATCTTAAGTTAGGAGCCCTACACGACGCTTGCACCAGCGTTATACGTCACTCACCCCAAATGATGTCATTATATTTATTTTAATATTTCAGTACGTTTGGTTCAATAACATAAAAACGTGAAAGCCGAAGCGCAGTAGCTGGTCGGGCCGATAAGTGACGAAACACCTGGCAGAGAATGGAGGCGACCTGAGTGAGGCTGCTTCTTTACGCAGAAGAAGTTGGTACCAAAATAAACATTTGCCAAAACCAACCACTAGTCTTCATCCTCCACGTGTTTTCTTGTAAACCTGAAAATAAAGAACAAGTCATACCTTCATGTCGCTGCTTATCACAGCATGGATCGGAATCACTGTTAACCCTCCGCTATGAACAAAATTACTGCGCACAGAACTCGACTTTATGGGCTGCTGTTGTTTCATGCTTTATGTGCAACAATCTTGTCTAGACAGTTAACTCTGAACATGGTGTATAGCCATCAGTGATACAGGCCATACATGCACATTGAGTGTTGTCTAACTTATAACAGAGACAATATATTTGAAGGGATTTGAAATATTTGCAGCCCCGACAGCAAAAGCAATTGAAAGTGAAACATCTCGTGGTGCACAATGCTGCAAAATGAAGATTATAATTTACTAGTGGACATTTCCTAAAAATGTATGTTTAAACAATAGAATGCATTATTAAATATGAGAAAATTGCAACATCTGAATATTTAAAAAAAACAGATACTTGTTTCATGTGGTTGCCATTAGTAAAATACTTTTATAGAGGGAGGTTTTATTACCTCTTACAATCATAATATAATACTGTCAAAATAAAAAACACTAAACAAGAAAAGAGTTTGCCTTTTTCAGTGTGAAAAATGCACACTGTCATACTCTCATGATTATTATTTGTTATACTTATACCGGTTAAATTAAGCGTTTTTTGGTAAGTTGCAGGGTTTTTCTTGTTTTTCCTGGTTTTTCTTGTCAGGGGTTTCACCTTTCCAAAGAATTTCTACAAAGTTCAAAGAAGTCATTTTTTTAAATAAAACATTTTTTTCAGCAAAAGCTCTTTGTCTGCTTTGGTTTTCCTTGCAGCTAGATGGCGGTAGACACAGTTTAACTGGAGTTTTCACTCCTGTGTAACACAGTATATCCATCAGATGGTTGTCTCATCCTCCCTCCGATTGCATCATAATATCTGGTGATTTGGCTTTGTAAGCCCAAACATCTTTGTCTTTTATATTGCTCTACTTTGGACAATGTTTAGGTATCTGAGGCACAATGACAGAGGTGACGAAGGTTGATTATTAATGGTCTAGTTCAGCAGGGGGCGCTATGTGAATAAGATCAAGCCCCGCCTCTGTCTCCTATCACGTCCTCCGAATGGGTTTAAATTTCTTTGAACTGACGTTGTATGCTTATCTTGTTTCAAACTTATCTGACAACATGAGCGGAAGAGGAAAGGGAGGAAAAGGACTCGGCAAAGGAGGCGCCAAGCGTCACCGTAAAGTCCTCCGTGATAACATCCAGGGAATCACCAAGCCCGCCATCCGCCGTCTGGCTCGCCGCGGTGGAGTGAAACGCATCTCCGGTCTGATCTACGAGGAGACCCGCGGTGTGCTGAAGGTCTTCCTGGAGAACGTGATCCGCGATGCCGTCACCTACACCGAGCACGCCAAGAGGAAGACGGTGACCGCCATGGATGTGGTCTATGCCCTGAAGAGACAGGGACGCACTCTGTACGGTTTCGGAGGATAAACCCCGACTTCTATTACAAACAACCAAACGGTCCTTTTAAGGGCCACGCACTCTCTCTGAATAGCTGATGTCCTTATAAGGATCTTCTCAGAAATATGCCAATATTGTTGCATAAGTTCCCTCCTCTACCAGTAAGATCGTGAGGTAGTGAAGTTTTCAAAATGTCTGAAACATTTTGTACGTAATACTGATTTGATTAATGTAATACTGATTGATTTTCCAGAAATATTTCAGAATCTGCATTACCAAATGTATGAATAACTTATTGAGCCCCATCCCAGTGAAGGGGCAATTCTATATTGAAGCCTATATATATATATATATTATATATATATATATAATATATATATATATATTTATATATATATATATATATATATAATATATATAATATAATATATATATTTATATTATATATAATATAATATATATATATTTATATAAAATGAGTACAAGCCAGAATGCAGATTAGGGGGAAAAAAGTACTGGCCCATTCAATTAATCGCACGTATTGACCAGTAGTGATGTCAAAGTGAAGCTTTCTGAACCACTGAAGCTTTCCAGCCAATTGTATCGGAAAAAGATTCATTCATTCAATGCATCGCAAACTCGATCTCTGCTGTTGAAAACCTATAGTGCATATATATCGAATAGCCTACCAGTATATTTTGGCCCAGTTATATGGAGGTAATATAATTAAAAATACCAGCAAGTGCTTCCTACTGCATGTGAATTGTTTGAATGTGGGAAGTGATTTGCAGAGGAAAGGTCAGTGGGGCAGTGATTGTGCTTTTTGAAAGGTTTCTTATGACAGGATATTGAGGTGCTTATGGACACATGGGATGGGACATGAAATTATTATTGATTTTTTTTGAGAAACACAATTTTCTTCACAGTATTGGGGTTGAGTCGGTTTCTTTTTGTAGATACTGTTTCCCCAGCTTTAGAAAAAACGCGCTCACATGGCACGGATGAGGCAGGAATGCTCATAAGATTACGTGCTAATACAAATAGATGTGGGTACACATGTTTGTGTTTGACCCTGTGTGCAGGATAAGCGGTGTGAAGATGGATGGTTTTATTGTAACAGTCAAAGTTAGGTATAGTTTTGCTAGATGATTATGCGTAACTCTGGGCTAGGATCAGATGGTTATACGTATAACTACAGAGCTTTAAACCTTAAGGAATGCCCGCAGAGAAAGACCATGCTTCATCTGCGAGCGAGTGAGTGTTGAGTAGGCTAGAGCGGGGAGCGGTGTCAAACTCAATCACCATGGGCAAAAAATAACCTGCCATAAAAATCAAGATACCTGATACGTATGATACCAGAATTCAATCCAACACCACCTGCAAGTCTCCCCTGCGATCTCCTGCTGTAAGCAGAATATAGTTGGGTTGGGCGACGTCAGATGCCCGTTGGTGACAGGTGGGCCGGTATTGGGCAAGCCCAAACCCATAGGCCCACCAGGGGTATTCCCGACGGCCAATCCGCCCCTCTGCATGCCAATATCAAGAGGATGTACTCAATCTACATCTATATCACATGGACCTGTTTATACAAAAAGTGCAAATTGATCAAAAAGTTATATAATCTAATTACATGTCCATGATTATACCAGTAATCATCTTCAAAAGGGATCTTTAAACAATATATTTTTTTAAATCTATAATATATAGGAAAATGATAGACTACTACTTGGACTTTTTGGCCGTGCTGTCGTGTTATAACATGTACGTCTAGGTCTGGTCTATGCCCCGAGGCCCTCATCTGGGTTTTCATGTATACAACTACTTTGCAATAAAAAGCTAGGTTTCATTTGGTGTTTTAACCAAAAATGACATTTACAATCCTGTATTGTAAGTTTGAACTGTGCAAGAAGAGCTACCACTGAGCAGACTGTAATATCCAGCAACACGATGCTGGCAAATGTGCAACTAAGTTAGAAGAGTAAAATAAGCTATGAAGGCCTGGGCTGAATCTTTTACATAATTTATGTTGAATGCTTGAAAATAATGATGATCGGAATAAGTATTCATAACAATAATAAGGATTACGTGGAAATTTTTATCAAAATCCAAATTTCAGTGCAGACTTCCTTATTCAGCTGAAAACTATTACTGGTAAAATAAGTTACATTGCAACATTTATGCTTTCCAAAAGAGGCAACATGTTTGATGATTACAAGTTGAACTAATAAGTGTTTTCAGCAGAGGACATGTCCGCCGAGCAGCTATAAGCCTTCACCGTCATCAGTGTGTTTGCTGCTCCCGGAATAACTTCAGTTTATTACAAACTGATCAACATCCGATGGTTGTTTTCACATTGAGACCCTGAATAAGCATGTGGATCAGATGGAAAACGACTTTTGATGGCGATATGATGTTATTTAAATACTTTGAAGAGAGAAATGAGTGGGAAAAGCCGCTGATCACTGCTGTCCACGGCGCTGAGTAGGTGAGGTTTGGAGGCTCCTCAAACAAAACGCATCGATCATCAGAGCTCTACGTGACCTGAACATGAAGAGAAACTAGTCCGCTATCGGCTCCTCCGCCTTCAGCCTCCAGCACCTGATGCACATTTAGTTTTTAGTCTTTAATCAGTGGAGAGAAAACACAAGTGACTCGACTTTCAGACTGCACGAGGAGCTCCGGGCTGGGTTGAGTCTCTACGGTTCTCATGGTGCGTTTAAGTGCAGTCCGCTGCTTTGAGCTCTTCATCAGTCTCACTCTCTCGAGTCCTCGACGACACAAACGCACAACAACGGGACAACATGGCAGAAGTAGCTCCAGCTCCAGCCGCCGCCGCGCCCAAAGCAGCCAAGAAAAAGGTGTCCAAGCCGAAGAAGGTCGGCCCCAGCGTCTCTGACCTCATCGTGAAAACTGTGGCCGCTTCCAAGGAGCGGAGCGGCGTGTCTGCTGCCGCCGTCAAGAAGGCTCTGACCGCCGGAGGATACGATGTGGACAAGAACAAGGCCCGCGTCAAGACCGCCATCAAGAGCCTGGTGGCCAAGGGGACTCTGGTCCAGGTCAAGGGGATCGGGGCTTCCGGCTCCTTCAAGATGAGCAAGACCACCGCCGAAAAACCGGCAAAGAAAGCCGCTCCTAAAGCCAAGAAGCCCGCGGCCAAGAAACCCGCAGCGGCCAAAAAGCCCAAAGCAGCGGCAGTGAAGAAAGTTGCAGCCGCTAAGAAGTCACCGAAGAAGGCCAAGAAACCCGCAGCGGCCAAGAAGGTGGCCAAGAGCCCCAAGAAGGTAGCAAAGAGCCCCAAAAAGGTGGCCAAGAGCCCTAAGAAGGTGGTGAAAAAGGCCCCTGCAGCCAAGAAATCTCCAGTGAAGAAGGTCGCTAAGCCCAAAGCCAAGAAAGCAGCACCCAAGAAGAAGTAAACTGATGTGACAAACACTTCTATAAAAGGCTCTTTTAAGAGCCACCCAATCCCTCCTCAAAGAGCTTTGCCTTTATTTATTTTTTTCAGACTTTATAGTGTTTTGACTTCTTAAAATTATTTTAATTTACTGTATTTAATTGAACTATACAACTGCTGATGGGAAAATTTAGGAAATCCACTATTTTCGAGCCAACATGAGCTTCTAAAGACCATTTTATAAGAAAATATGGTTTTACTTATTCAAGGACAACACCTGCCGTTCTTTGATATCCAAATGTTGCTCAGACTCCAGAATTTGGCCCATCCATCATCACTGAACATTTGTTTTAAATGGAGAAAATGTACATTTCAATTAAACATGTATAAGATTGTAAGAATTAGGACAATTCCAAGTAAATACTGTTATAATACATTTAAAAAATAAACCCATCAGGAAATAGTTTGTAGACTAGGTGTGAAGCTATTTCAACATGGAGCAGATAAGGCACAAATGGCAAAACATTCCCTCAATTATGTGGAGCAGAAGCCAAGAAGAAGTGAGCTGATATCAGTCTGAAGAACAAACACCTCTATTAAAGGCTCAATCCTTCCTTAAAGAGCTTTTTTCCTGCAAGACTATTCTACAAAGAAATCTTGTATAATACATCTTTATTATACAAAAGCATCCAAATGTTGCGTAAAGTAGAAAACATGTTTTTGATTGTCACAGCCTGCGAAAGAGCATCCGGTTATTGAAACCTTTATATTACCCATCTCATGCTACAATCAATTTAAATTCTAAAGGAATATTTAATATTTGTATTGAATAAGAGTGGCTCCTTTAAAATGTCAAATCCTTATTTTTCATTCTGTAATCTTGCCTGTTTGTCTTCCTGTTCCCTTTCTCTGAAAGTGAATCCATCTACATCAAGTGTCAAACAATGTCTAAACGGTTTTATGCTTCAGCTGCAGTAGTGTCCTTTCTACGCGATACATTAAAAGGTTTTGAGGTATTTATTAAGTTGTGTGACTTTATTGGGATTATCTTAATAAGTAGGACCACATAATAGTCACAGGAGGATCACATCTCTTTTCATGTGAGTGGGTGGCTCTTAAAAGAGCCTTTGTGGTAGATGGAGGTCTCCGGCTTTACTTCTTGGCGGGCTTCTCGGTCTTCTTGGGCAGCAGCACCGCCTGGATGTTGGGCAGCACGCCGCCCTGAGCGATGGTCACTCCGCCCAGCAGCTTGTTGAGCTCCTCGTCGTTGCGGACAGCCAGCTGCAGGTGACGCGGGATGATGCGGGTCTTCTTGTTGTCGCGGGCGGCGTTTCCAGCCAGCTCCAGGATCTCAGCGGTCAGGTACTCCAGCACGGCCGCCAGGTAGACGGGGGCTCCTGCGCCGACACGCTGCGCATAGTTCCCTTTGCGCAGATGCCTGTGGACGCGACCGACTGGGAACTGGAGTCCAGCACGAGAGGAGCGGGTCTTTGCCTTCGCTCGAGCCTTTCCACCGGTTTTGCCTCTGCCGCTCATTGTTAGACTGTTTCAGGGAAAGAAGTGTCTGTGAACGCGTCAAACCCTCCTTTATATGTCCGCGGAGCGGGTGGGACGCGCGCACCAACCAGAGAAGAGGCTCCAGACAGGAAGACAGAGGGCGCGAGCTCACAGTTTTTGGCGGACATTTTTAAATCATTTTCCGCCAATGAGCAGCGGAGACTCGCTCGTAGAGTCGCGGCTGAGCTCCAGGAGGAGTCCTCCACCAATCAGGGGCCGGAGGTCTGAATCAGCGTCACCGCTCCTCAGCCGGTCCACACTTTAAGAGCCGCGAGGCTCCTCTCAGAGTTCACTTCTCTTAACCAGAGCGACACTAGTCGATCATGGCACGAACCAAGCAGACCGCCCGTAAGTCCACCGGAGGCAAAGCCCCCAGGAAGCAGCTCGCCACCAAGGCCGCCCGTAAGAGCGCCCCGGCCACCGGCGGAGTGAAGAAGCCTCACCGTTACAGGCCCGGTACCGTGGCCCTGAGGGAGATCCGTCGCTACCAGAAGTCCACGGAGTTGCTAATCCGCAAGCTGCCCTTCCAGCGTCTGGTGAGAGAGATCGCTCAGGACTTCAAGACCGACCTGCGCTTCCAGAGCTCTGCTGTTATGGCTCTGCAGGAGTCCAGCGAGGCTTACCTGGTGGGCCTGTTCGAGGACACCAACCTGTGCGCCATCCACGCCAAGAGGGTCACCATCATGCCCAAAGACATCCAGCTGGCCCGTCGCATCCGCGGAGAACGAGCTTAAACACCCTCATTCTACTCCCAACAACGGCTCTTTTAAGAGCCACCTCACTCTCTGTAAAGAACACATTCCTTAACGTGACCATTATCAATTTAGTGGAAAACACTGAGGGTGAAGAGTGTCAGACATTCCCTGGATCTCATGAAAGACACCTACTGTCACCAAACGTTACCTCTGAACATCTCAGTGAAATAATCCACAACATACCTGCACATAGGGCATTTGGTGTCTGACCCTGTCCAGAACAACATCTTATTCCTGCTGACAACACAGATTTCTCCGCGCTAACAGAAGAGATTCTGGGAAATATTTTAATGTGCATGTTAGTTTCTTCCAGCTGTCATGAATAACACATCATATGCAGTGCTTGTCATCGGAGGTGCGTTCTGCTGATGATACTTGATGACATCTTCCATTGCTACCACAAGGTGGTACCATAATACAGATTCTTAAACTGAACATGTTTGTAAGTCATTTGTTAGTAGTTATTTCTCTGTGCCGTTCAACCCCTCTGAGATTGGTGCACCCACTTTTTGATCAAACAATAACATATTTTCTATTGCTAATATAAACCATTCGACCATGTACATTATTGGTGAATTGACTAAAGTCATGAGCAATTTAAACTCAAAATACTAATTTTAAAAGACCATTGCTACACATGCCACGTAGTAGTTTTCACCTGTTCCACAGCAAAATTATGGTGTGTAGTATAACAAAAAACAGACACGCTAGACCAAATGATTCATTAATATCCCACTTTCGTATTTATTCTTAAACTAAAAGCACCACTATAAAGCTAGTGTTATACATATTTATATACGCGTAAGAGTAAAATGTAGCATTCACCAGCGATGCTTTTGAAACAAGTATATGTTTTATTAATTGTTAAAGCTGATGTATGTAGGTGACAAGTAAGTGCAGATCAGATCGTGTTGTTTGCTGGTTGGTTAAAACAATCTATAAATTTGGGATTTTCTGCGATACCCGGAGTTGGACCTTCATGCGATAAGGTTTGGGAGTCAGAGTGACCCCATAGACTGGAGTGAAGTCTGGCTCTCCTGCATCCTCAGGCCAGATGAACTTAAACTTCCTCAGCAGCGTCACCGTAAACAGGAAGAGTTCCATACGGGCCAGACCCTCTCCGAGACACATACGAGGGCCTGAGACATACAGAATACAATATAAAAAAGAGCTCATAGTCATGCATTTACCCTCACAGTGTTGTTTGTTTCTTATGCTCTCCTACCCCCACTACTCTCTACCCTCAACGCCCCACTAAAACACTGGGCTCCCAGAACAGAGTGGATAAAGCTTTAAGAGTAACACTTTCCCCCCTTTTTAGAGTAGGTTATAGACCTTCAATAAAGCTTATAATTGGGGCTGGTTCAGGCTTGCCTAGGCCAAGACTGCAATGACACGTTCTACATGACAACCGGTGTTGCATATTATACAGATTCTGAAGCCACCTCAGGCCATTTCGTTACTTGTGATTTTGGTCTACATGAAGATAATTGATTTGACGAGAATTGAAACATACATACCTGCAGAGAAAGGCATGAAGGCCTCTGGTTTCACAAACTCTCCCTGGTCATTGAGGAAGTTTTCAGGGTTGAATTCATTTGGGAATTTCCATTGGCCCTCCTCATTCAGCACTGAGGTGAGATTAGGGATGATCAGAGTACCCTGTGGACAAGACATGAATCAAAAGAGGAATGAATAATTTGCAGAGATGTACATTCCCAGCAGAGACGCCTACATTGTTTTACACAATAGTGACAGAAAAGACAGGACCAGTTGCTTCTTACCTTGGGGATGGAATATCCATTGAGCTCTGTGGCTTTAGTTGTACAGTGGAAGACGCTGAGTGGAACAGTGTTGGCTACTCTCTGGATTTCATGGATTACGGCCTGGATAAAGAAAAATTTAAATATCATGTTCCCATACTTAAACACCGGCTCTCAAAAGATCAGCCACACAAAAAAAGCAGCAAAATGGGAACTGGCACGAGGATTGGTATGTATGTGAAATGTGAATTGAATTTACCCCAAGGATGTACCCACGGGTGAACATATTGAATCCAAGATTTATTGGCTATGTGAAAAGTGTGAGATTTACCTGCACATAAGGCATGTTGTTTCTGTCCTCAGAACTGGCCTGATCCTTTCCCTCCAGCACCATGTCTATCTCCTGCTGACAACGCTCTGACAGAAACATGAAGGATGATGAAACTAATTTGCAATATTTTTCCTACTTCAAACTGCCTTCTGTTGAAGAGGCTGTCTTTCTGGAATTTGCCAAAGGCCTCTAACAATGACCCGTGGTACACTCGTGAGGGTGGATCTTATTTTCTCAAAGGTGAAATTTGTTGAGGGGGAAAAACTGAAAGCCTTTACTGCAGGGACATACTTGATCTATTGCTATTACAAACACTACACTAATCATGCAGAACTGGAGTGAGAGCTTTCTGCATATTTGTAGCTACAAGTTGCATCTTGTCACTGATAGGTTAGGGCTAAGAGGTAGGGTCGATTTACATCAATTCGGAAGCACAATAGTTCCCTCCCTGGCATCATCAACCAGCATGCCACAGTGTGCTTGGGTAAGACACTTAACCGGTAAACAGTTCCCCAAGGCTGTGCTGTCCCTTTTTAAGAAAGAGACATTAATTTAATGAGACAATTGATACGTGTTCCAAAAAAAATACCTTTTCAATTCAGGACTTTTACAAAAAGTATTTCTGTATAAAAGAATCTACGATACAAACAATTATGAGCATTCCTTTGTAGAATATTTGCATACCTTGTACTTGTGGGTAGTTCATTAAGTAGAGGAAACCAGTAAGGAGAGTGTTGGAAGTAGTGTCAGTCCCAGCAAAGTGAAGATCCAGAATGTACATAGTCAACTGCGCTTCTGAAAAGGACGACCGATCATCACCCGGCTAGAGAGAGGAGAATGACAATGCAAATGTGAAACTTCAAACTTTAAGGGCAATATTAAATTGTTCATAATCATACCGTCATAAGGGGTTGCGTCAAAAAATTGGAGAGAAATGAAGACGCTGAAGACATTTTAATGCTGATTGACCAAGACTCGACACGTCACATCTAAAATGTTTTGCTGCAAAATCATGACATCGCCTTTTCTCCTTGTCTCAGTCCTATCTCAGAAACGCTGGCTGGCCAGTTCACCCAACCCCCTGCACCTCCCCCCCCCTCCCAATCCTAAACTTTTGCCAAAAAACAACAAGTTTGCATTATTCAAAAATGTACCCATCTTTTCTGTGTTCAATGATTCACCTTATCCAGCCGATCCAAGTAGCAGTCAACAAAGTCGCGCGGCTCTCCAGGCACTCTGGTCTGCTTGTGCTCATTCATCAAAGTTTTTGCAATCTTCTGACATGTCTGAAAAACATTCACGTCAACATTCATAATTTATAATCTACTTTCAATTGACAAAATGCATGCAGAGAGAGAGAGAGAGAGAGAGAGAGATTAACCTACCTCAACGTTCTTAAAGGCCTGTCTGAAGGGCAGTGGCAGGCTTCTGATCAAAGGAAAGGAGTCATAAAGCTGTGTAAATGAAAAGAACACGCAATTTTAGATTATTCAATATCAAAAACGTATATTCTGCATCTTGGCATGAATCAGTCTGAACAAATTATTTTATTATCACATATGGGCTAAGATTCTGTGCTTTGCTGGAAAACAACTCTTCTGTGAGTCAAGGCGAGTAGGTTTGCAAGGATACACATCAATCCATGCTTACGATGCAAGTGCACAGTTTATTCGGACCGTCAGTTACTTTAGTGTGGCTTTGGGAAATTCTGGACTGAAGTTACGTCTTTGTGCACCCCTCGACTGGCAAACCAACGTTTGCGGAGATCTCCATCCATGAATTGGAGGCCAGCGACGGGTCCGCCATAATCCGCCAATGACGGGTTGTAGAAGTGGTCATATTTGCGGATTTCTTTTTTTTTTCTTGCGGATATTTCCGACAAAAGCTCTTCAATCTGATTCATTCTCTCGTGAAAAATCTTCGTTTTAATAATGGCAGTATTAGGCTATGAAACTGAGACTCCGGAAACGATGTAGTTAGCAGACTAATCACAGCCTTGCGGGCTGCAGGAGGCTTGCGTAGCTTTTGATGCCAGTCTAGAAAAATGTGTCGACTCACGCAAGGAGGGGTAAAAAAGGCAAGCAAGGGGCTCTTGAAAACGCGCATGCATAAACTAGGCTTAACTCTCGCGGTTAGACAATTGTCAGCTTTGCAAGCAACACTACCATTAGCTCCAATTGTAGCTTTTTGATTTGGGCCAACGGACAAACAAAACAAAAAGGCTGAGTATGTGGTAAACATTATACCTGCTAACAACCATCTTAGCCTGCTAAAGTTGGCTCTAATCACCACCGATCAATGAAGTACGGCCCCACTGAGCCGCAAGCTTAACTAAAGTCAGATGTATCTGATATTTCTAAGCGACATTTGAAGACAGAAGCATGCCTGTGACTCACCATAGCCCATGGCCCATTGGCTATCTTGGCATTCTCGGTGAAGCATTGAACAAGTGTTTTCATGGTCTCATCCTGATACTCAAAGCGTTTTCCAAATAGAACCTGGCAGATGATGTTGGAGGCCGCATTGTGAAACATGTTTTGAGGACTGAAGGATTTGCCTGGAGAAGACAAAATGTCCACTTAAGTACAACACAGTATTGTGCAACAAAATTAACTTACCAATTACAAGCAAAACTAATCAATCTTTCACATTAGGCAAAATTACATCACATGTCATTTAGCTGATGCTTTTATCCAAAGAATCTTACAATAAGTGCATTTCAAGAAACAAGAAAGTGCATTTCAAGAAACAAGAAAGTGCAATTTCATCGAGCTCCACATTGTAACATTATCAAATATTAATAAAATATTAATTTGATGTCAGTGTCCCTGATTAAAGTGAACGCTGCCATCCATGGGAGGACAGATGACATACCAATGCTCTTCTCCAGCGTGTCCACAGTATATTGTATCTCTCCATGAATCCTCTCCTCCATGCTGTCCTTCCCCATTCCAAAGTTCCTCAAGTTCATCAGAGCAAAGCGACGTTGCTCCTTCCAACTAGAACCGTAATCTGCCAGAATCACTCCTATAAAAGGCAGAGTGGCACAAAAGCATGCATAGAAATGTCTCAAGATATCACGGTTTACTTTGATTATAGCAGAGTTTTTCCAGAGCTTGTTAACTTTCTAGCATGATTTATCTTTTCCTCTCCTCAATATGTTAATGAGAAGATGGTTCCTTCAATGCAGAAGACCATGTTGTTTACTTTCTTACATAAGTACTAGAATGACTTTGCGTGTCACCATCTCGTTTGCATTTGGACTAATTGTGTAATGTTGTGCAATGAAAGGGCTTTTACAGCCAACAGAATTGAATGGAGTTTGACTTTAAGTAAACAAAAAGAGGAACAACATGGCTTTCAAAAAAGACTTGGTTGTTGGAATAATATAGAATGTCGCCTAACATGTGAGTGGGCAACTGCAGGACAAGTGCATACAAGTTTGATGACTGATGAATGGAGGTCAAGGTTTGATGAAGAAAGGCGATAAGTCCTCTCCAGCCCTGCCTCTTTTTCCCTGGTTAACTGAATTGTAAAACATACATCAGTTACATAAGACTCTTTTTTTCCCTCCTTTTGATTAGAGAGGTGCGTTCAAACCAAATGCAGCTGCTCTGTATTAAACAAAAACTTAATCCTATAACCCCGGTTTAAGCCTCCCTTCACTAGTTAACGGTAAGTGTGGGATTTATCACCTTTAAAAGGCACTTTGGGGTTTACGTCCTAGTCATATTGCTGAATTGCCGCCCCCACATGAGCCAGATCATTCAACAAAGATGATTATAGTCTCCGTGTGACCTTCATTTACTGTATAGCTCAGGTGCCTGCTTCTACCTTCTCAATATTTCCTATCATGCTGTTGAATAGGTCACACATTTCAACGTACTTTGTGATAATTGCAATAAAAAAACTGCACATTGACCCTTGTCAACAGTGGGTGAGTGGGGAGCACGGTCGTCCTCCAATCAGAGGGTTGGTGGTTCGATCCCAGGCTCTGCTAACCCCGCATGTCGATGTGTCTTTGGCAAGACACTTAACCCAACATTGCTCCTGTAGCTGTGACTACAGTGTGTAGTTGTAGTCGGAACGGGTGAATGATGTCATGTAGTGTTAAAGCGCTTTGAGTTGTCGGAAGACTAGAAACGCGCCGTACAGTCCATTTACCGTTTGTTTTAATAACATATATTGTGGGAGCTATAATCCAGTTATTTATTCTAAAATATAGTTAGTTGGGTTAAGTGGAGCAGTAATTAGGTAATACTGTGGGCACCCGCAGGTTACTTAAGGGCATAGCCAGGTAGGACCAGCATGCACCTGGGTGACTAATATTTTTTTTTACCAGCGAGATAGCGAGCCAGAGCACTGCATAGGAAGGTAGCCAAGTTTTATTGTATGTGTTCGCCGGACTCTGCAAATAAATGTGAACAAAAGGAATCGATTGCCTTGACAATCCACTTTATTGCTGCCTGACAAAAACAAAGCAGTAGGTGCAGCCAGTGACCATTTGTTTTAAAGATTTGTAGGACAAATGGCCACTACATATATACTCACACTGACTGTCCCATCTCTATATGGACAAAGATAAGTGAACATTGGAATGTTGTGTTGCTCTTTTTAAATAAGCTATGATGGACGATACATTCATTAGCTGCTCATTGAAACATCATGTGTGTCCTACCTTTTCTCTGGGTGCTGTCATTGACAAACAGGTCTTGGGGTCTTCCAGCGAAATCGACACCCTTGGTCACCAAAGCCTCCTTTATGGTCTTCATCCCATTCATGACTACTACTGGTTTGGGACCGAGAAATAAACTATAGACATTTCCATAGGTCTTCTTCAACTGGGAGAAAAGAAGATGACATTGTAGTGTTTTAAATAATTTAACTTTAGATGCTTATTTACATTCCAACAATTCAATATAATCAAAACAACATGTTTTCTGATATAGTTAGATCTTTATCCTCTAACCTGGGAAATTAGGTTAGCAGCGTTGAAAATATTGGACGAGCTTAAACAAACTCATCAACAAATTAAGATGAAATAATGTAATTCATGAGAATCATCACATAATGAAAACATTAGGAGAAAAATTAAAACAACTAACAGCACATTACATCAAGCACCTGACCTTGGGCCTTGCAAGTACTACTTTGTGTGCAAGTTAGACAACACCTAATAAGTATGCGTGACCTCAGCTACTGGTTGGCCATAGTCCAGTAGTTAAGAACACAGACTGTCAACTCTGTACAGGGAAAACGTCCGTAATCACCTATTGCGAGTAAAATAGAAGCTTAATGACTCGAGACTTAAAGACTTGTCACGTTTTTATTTTTCACATTTTGCCAAACGTTTAAGTGTTGAAATGTTCTCAACACATTTTGTGATAGTGATTACATTCATACAATTACAAGAGAATGTATTGGAAGAGCCACATCGTCCGTTTCAGCTGTCTTACCCTCTCAAAGTCCTTCAGGGGGTTCTCCAGGCTCAGGTCCAAAATGTTCCCCAGTATCGGCCAGACTGGGGGTCCTGGTGGAAAGTTCTTGGGCCTTCGGGATTTGAGTTGAACGACGATGAAGACGACGCAGATTAACAGCAGGATTATTGACGCAAACATGGTGGAAGGGACTGAACTGAAGAGTTTACTGGCTTTCTGCGAGTGTTTCTCGGTTCTGAATGCTGACTCCTGTAGTTATATTTTGCTCACCTGTGGGTGAGTGGGAAAATCAAACAGAAACAGGTTACACTTTGACAGGCAATTGTCCACCAAAATATCAGTTTATATAGTGCTAAACGTTTTCCATAGTTTGACACAATTATTGTCATGGCTTGTTAATAGAGGTGAATACAGCAAACCAGTTACACAATACGATGTAGAGAAATGGTTTTTTTTTTCAGATACTGTAGTTAAAAATCAGAGGCATTTTCTTTTACCACCATCTACTTGACTACATTGCAGAAAGAAATATAGATTCTTAAACCTCTTCAATTATTCGTCAGATTGTTCCATACATATGAACATACGAAGAGCGTCAACGATATTTATCTTTATAATTAATGACCAATATCCCAAACATTTTACACTTCTACAGGTTCTCAAAAACTACTCATTTTATTTTTGTTGTATTAATTATTTCTATAGCTAATCTTTTAACCTGCAGTCCGAAACTCAAAATGAATAAAAAACATTCAATCATTTATAATAGCGTTCGACATCTTTTCTCGTTTTTTCCTGCGTTGAGATTACTTTGAATACTTTACTTGTTGTGGAATTCACAGAATAACACCAGCGTCATACGTCACTCACCCCAAATGACGTGATTGTATTTATTTTATTTACGTTGGGTTCAATATGATGAAAAGGAGCCGAAGCGCAGCGGCTGCTCGGGCCGATGAGTGACGCGTCCTGCAGAACATGCAGGCGACCCGAGTGAAGAAGTTGGTACCGAACCAACCACTTAGTCTTCATCCTCCCAAGTGTTTTCTTGTGAACCTGAAAATAAGAACAAGTCTTACCTTCATATCGCTGCTTTTTAAAGCGTGGATCGGAATCACTATTAAACTCCCGTCATGAACGAAACCACCGCGCACAGGACGCGACACTGCGGGCTGCTGTTGTTTCATGTGGTTACGCAACGATCTTGTCTGCGCAGTTAACTCCCTCTGAAGGTGGTGTATTAGCCAGCACGGAAACAGGCCATTCATGCACATTGGGTGTGGTCTAACTTCCACACAATATAATAGACAGAGGAAATATTGAAGGGATTTGAAATATTTGCAGCTCTGACAGCAAAGGCAAACATGTTGTGGTGCACAATGCTGCAAAGTGAAAAATATGATTAACTGGTTTACAAAGGCGTTTGCTGAAAACGTTTAAATAACAGAATGCGTTATTAAATAAGAGAAAACCGGAAAAATCCCAGAGTATACATCTGAACATACTACTGAGACAGAAACAGATACTTGTTTCATCTGGTTGCCATTAGTAAAATACTTTTATAGAGGGGGGGGGGGGGTATTATCTCTTTCAATCAGAATATAGTACTCAAAGAAAAAAAGCATTGTTTAGTTGTTTGTTACTTTTACCTATACCGGTTTAATTTATACCTTAACTCGATTCCTGCAGGGGGTGGTAGCTTTTTTTATGGTGAAAGTGCGACCTTTGGGTCCCTAACCATGTTTGCCTTACGCACCGTATTCATGTTAGACTGTCGCTGTGTCTCAAAGTCGCTGGGCTGCATCCTTCAGCAGCCTTCGCAGACCTGGGCAGCAACCGCGTAGGCTGAACCGAGCGGTCTCTGAAGTGGGGCGGTCTGGCCTGCGGGGGACTTCCTGCCCGTTGCCCAGCAACCTGCTGGGCTTAAAAACAAACGCCCTAAAAGCCGAAAAATGTATGAAGTACCGATAAGTAAGGTCATTTTCTTCGTATTTAATTTAATTTAGGAAGATACGCTTCTCCTCCGGAGTATGATATATTTCACGCTGAGATAATTTTCCAAACATTTTCCGGTTAATGTAATGGTAATGTATAATACTTTTTATATAAAATTACTTTCAGCTAAAAGTAATATAAACAATATTAAGGCAGAGGAGATTCCATCAATGTTGTTACTAAAAACCAATTGACCAACACATGTATTAAGTTGTATGCAAGGACTTCTTATTTTTCTATTGAACAGGATACAAGCTATTTTAACCTTAAGATATTTCGGAATATGTCCAAGTTACAGCAGCTGAATGTCACCACACACATCGTTCTCCTTCAGCTTGATGCTGCTTCCTCCTGGTCCATAACCCAACTAAATGTAAAGTTTATAATCACACAACAAAACAAAAGGAGCAAAGTGAGTTAAGTTTCTTTGTGTATTTATTCTGTAACGTTCTAACTTAGAAAGTGATATTTCAGCTTTGACTACTTGAGTTCACTTTGATCCATAATATAATAATAATTATATTACATAATATAAAGTATAAACTACATATAAAACCGTCTCAGCCTCAGTAGGATGTTAGTCAGCCTCTAGAGTATGAAAGTTGAGTCATGAAGTGACTTTTGACTGATAACTACAGACGAGCTGCCGTTAATGGCGCAGCGGCTCCAGGGAACGTGAGCTGCTCGTTTTGTCTTTGTTATAAATGTGTGTTGGTACATTGATGTTTATAAAAACAGTACATGGACTCAGGGGGGATTCAGGTGAGAGTCTGGCTCAGGGGCTGTATGGGGGGACTTAGCGTTATCACTAAGAGCAGTTTAAGTTTAAAGTCTTATGTGAATTTGAAATAACACGACATCGGTCAAACTACGATGTCATCTCATATTTTATAGTATAACATTTCTATCGGTAGTGAATTCTATAACTTAACGTTACATTTAAAGTAAACTCTCCCCGCTGTCGGATTTTTGGCTCATTTCCGTTAGACAAGCGCCTTAAAATGTGTTAAAATGAAAAAGCAGTGACATGAAAAACGTAAAAGTTATTCATTACTTTTGTGCGGCCCTCTACCAGATTGGCTAATTGCAATCTTAGGTTTGCTGCCCCTTTAGCTGTCTCGTTGTTGTTCTTTGCCATCAGGCACAGGTGGGAGTGATGTTTCGATGCAGACACACAAAAGATTTTCCAGCGATGATTGTGGTTGAGGTTTGTAGTTTATTGCAGGCAATTGTATAAACAGATGAACATACCGGTTGAACGTGCTCCTATTGATGGTGGTCTGTCTTCGTTGTCTGGTGAGAACTGTCTAGTGCTCCCCTACCTCTCCCTCGCTTCCTGTCACCTACGTCCCTTTTGTACACCCATGTGCACCTAATCACCACCACCTAGTGTCCAAAGTGTCAATACAAATACAGTCTAACAAACAAAATATACTTTGCCAACAACAACACATAATGGCCCCTACAGAATGTCTGCTTTGGTTTTGCTTGCAGCTAGATGGCGGAAGACACAGTTTAACTATCCTGAGCCTCCACCCCCATTTTCACTACTGTGTAACACAGTATATCCATCAGATGGTTGTCTCATCCTCCCTCAGATTGCATCCTTGACGGTCAAGGAAGCCGAGACCAAAAAATGAAGCAAAACCATACTATGTCAAAGATGTCCCACTTCATGATCTATAACAAGATAAACGGAGACAATGTTTAGGTATCTGAAGCACAATGACAGAGGTGACGAAGGTTGATTATTAATGGTCTAGTTCAGCAGGGGGCGCTATGGCAATAAGATCAAGCCCCGCCTCTGTCTCCTATCACGTCCTCCGACTGGGTTTAAATATCTGTGAACTGAGCCTTGCCTATTTTGTTTCAAATTTATCTGACAACATGAGCGGAAGAGGAAAGGGAGGAAAAGGACTCGGCAAAGGAGGCGCCAAGCGTCACCGTAAAGTCCTCCGTGATAACATCCAGGGAATCACCAAGCCCGCTATCCGCCGTCTGGCTCGCCGCGGCGGAGTGAAGCGCATCTCCGGTCTGATCTACGAGGAGACCCGCGGTGTGCTGAAGGTCTTCCTGGAGAACGTGATCCGCGATGCCGTCACCTACACCGAGCACGCCAAGAGGAAGACGGTGACCGCCATGGATGTGGTCTATGCCCTGAAGAGACAGGGACGCACCCTGTACGGCTTCGGAGGTTAAACACCAACTTCTGTTATAAACAACCAAACGGTCCTTTTAAGGGCCACGCACTCTGTGAGGAGCTGATTACCGTAATGATGAAAATAGGACATCAACATTAATGCAGATTCCAATGCATAGTTCTGTTAATGAATAATGCTCAGAGCTTTGTGTGAGACTGTGGCACATTTTTAATGCTTGCGTTTCATTTCTGAAAAAAAATCCATTCTAGAATGGATTCTAGAGCCAACTCTTCCTGACTCCCAATATTACAGCAACAACACGATCCTGTAGATACTCTCTACAACATCAGGAGAATACGTCCTCTTCTCACCCAGAAGGCAGCGCAGGTACTGATTCAGGCTCTTGTCACCTCACGCCTGGACTACTGCAACTTCTCCTGGCAGGTCTCCCTGCTGCCGCCATTCAACCTCTGCAGCTCCAGAATCCAGAATGCAGCAGCTTGACTGGTCTTTAACCCTCTGAAATTCTACCACACTTCTCTTCACTGGCTACCGGTGGCTGCCCGCATCCACTTCAAAACCGTGCTGTGAATGGATCACGTCCAGTCTACATCCAGTACATGGTCAAACCCTACATCCCAACCTCTGCATCTGCCAAACTACTTGTCCCTCCCTCACTTAGTGTTTTTACATGATGGTATGATTCGATTTCAGTCTGACTAAGCCAGTTAATCTAATCCATGTAACCACGCTGACTGAGGCCAAAACACTTCTAAACATGCAACATCCTGTCCCAAAACCCCCAAAATGTAAAAACCTTCACCCGGGAGAAACCTGAGGGGAAAGCAGCAGAGAAGTAGGTGTGCAGAGTATGAACAACTTACAGTGCATCCAATTCCTACGACAGAAATGATTCTAATATTGAGAGTAGTAGGCCAGGGGTAAGGCAGGACCACTGCAGGCACAGCCGTCATCAGATGCAACCTCCATCAGATGCAACCACCACCCACAGAAACCTGTGAGGAGGGAAAGCACAAAGACTTCAAGGAAAGGGCAAAGATGATCTTTTGGGTTTATGATGACAGTAATAAACTAATGACAGCAGCAGGTGTGTTAGAACCCTAATTTATAGACTGTTTACTTATTACATTATAAACAAGATAACAATTCATCTGCAACTCATGGCATTTCTGGAGTAACATTTCCAGGTATATCACACAGTAACATGCTTTAAGCACACAGTAACTTACAATGTTTTGGCCCTCGTTTACAGACCACAACTTGTTGAATTCAGCTCCCTTGCAATCTGTATTTAGCCCCCATTGCTTTAAAAAGGTATTTTCAATATGAAATGGGAAAGACAATAACATGTATAGGTACAGTAGCAACCTAACACATTACCAACACCAAACACTGCACCCGGTCGAAGCTCTGCAGGCGTCGACACGTCGACACGTGAGTCCGTAGTTTAATATTTATGACGTTTTAAGTGAAATATTAAATAGGTCAGGAAATGGTCTTTAGAAGAAGTGGGTGGCTCTTAAAAGAGCCTTTGTGTTGGTGGTCTACATCAGGTTTACTTGGAGCTGGTGTACTTGGTCACGGCCTTGGTTCCCTCAGACACGGCGTGCTTGGCCAGCTCGCCGGGCAGCAGCAGGCGCACAGCGGTCTGGATCTCCCTGGAGGTGATGGTGGAGCGCTTGTTGTAGTGAGCCAGGCGAGAGGCCTCACCGGCGATGCGCTCAAAGATGTCGCTCACGAACGAGTTCATGATGCCCATGGCCTTGGAGGAGATGCCGGTGTCGGGGTGCACCTGCTTCATCACCTTGTACACGTAGATGGCGTAGCTCTCCTTCCTGGTCTTCCTCTTCTTCTTGCCGCTCTTGCTGACGGCCTTGGAGACGGCTTTCTTGGAGCCCTTCTTGGGCGCTTTCACAACTTCAGGCATGATTCGAGACTTCTCTGTAAACTGAGAATGTCGCAATTTCAACAGCACGGTGTTCATATATGAACTAGATGCAAAGTACACTGTGCTGTTGCTCGAGCGTGATTGGTTGCCTTCTGTGTGATACTGCGC